CCCGGTTTGTGTCGTGTAGATGTTGATTATGAAAACACTTCGCAATAATTTGGAAACGTGAAGGGGGAGCTGCTGCTGCCCGGTGTTTACGGTAAATAGACGCAAACACCGACCAAGTGGACGCTTCGGTCTCCGAAAACGCCGAGACAAATTTACAAACAGCCACTATTTCAAACAACTGGGCTCATAATCGTGATGTAAACACTTACTTTCTCGCTAGAAAAAATATTATTATTGAATGAATTTATATAATTTGTCCGGTATGCAGTCGTTCTATGTAGCTTGTGGTAGGACTATTTAAATTTTCCGCACAGTTCTGGTGTTTAGTATATTTGTCCATTCTGCAGGAGCATACTCAAATCATCTTTGAGTAGTTAACCAGGCACTATGCAAATTGAATGAATTTAAAAGTAAATGTGTTGATTTTGGATCTCAATTCAAATCTGTCCTCTGACAGCCCTACATGAAACCAAACGCGCGGCACATAAATCAAACCTATTTTTCTGCGCAACAGAAATAACCGTCCGTGTCAAACAAAATTATGGTTCCGGATTTAACTGATTCTGCTCGAGAGCATATAATTTGTGTAAATGTTGCTTTACTGTGTTTTCATTGTTTTGAATCATTCTCAAGTATTCTCAAGTGATACTCTCCAGGATTTAGACAATATGCTGGACATAAGGGTTTAGAAGTGTTAAGAAGTTTTGTTTATAGGCATTTTCTTTTTATTTTCTGGCTGTTTATCAACTAAAATATGACAAAACAATGCCCGTATAAGACTGATAAATAACGTTATGTTAGGTGAGGCTCAGTTGTGCACCCAGCAGTTTACTGGCCTTTTGAAAGCTAGAAATACTTTTACTGCACATTTCAGAAAGTGAGACAGAAACTTAAGTTGATCAAAGAAGGGTCAGCAGAGGTTAATGTCTCTTTCCACTGCTGGTACACTAAAAGGTCATCTTCTAAAGCTTATTTACTTGGCCCTATTTTTCTATCCATCCTGGAGTTTTAAAAGTTTAAAAGTTCTATCTTTTCAGTCAAGTGGAGCTTATGGCAATCAACAAATAGCTTTATTATCTGTTATCTTTGCCCTCTCACAGCCCTGGAAAAGATGTGAGGGGAAGCATCTCAAAGAAAACAGATGGCAAGGAGAGTTTACTGTGAAGAGGCAGGCACAACCTGACATCTGGGCACAGAGTAAAAAAACAGATAGTAATAAAGCGAAATTGCAGCTGCTATCCTGGTTAATGGAAAAGGTGAAATCCAGTGAGTATAGTTTGGAGGAGCTGAAACAATGTTGCTGGAGAGGTCAGGGTTGCTGATGTAATTAGATGTGATTCCTACCAGGCAGTGCAGCGATGATTGAACTCTTTTATCAGTTTGCTCTTTAATCTATGCCACGGGTGAACATTTGGATTGAGTAGACCTGCAGTGGTTTTATAGAGGTGGGAGGGGCAGACGAAACACATTATCTTCCTGTCCTCTGGGCTTTATGGCACGTCAACAGTAAACCTGGAGAGCAATAATATTTATCATAGGTTTAATGACAACTATTAAGTCTCCAGGCTTCAGTCGTGTGTTATGTGCGCTGCATTTTTAAAACCTTAACAGCTTAACTCTAATGTAATTCGCGCCTTTCAATATTACAGTGCGAATAAAATCTGAAGAGATGCCAGAGACGGCATATTTGAGTCTCTTTATTCTTTTCTAAAAGACAGATCTTAAATCCATTTTCATAAAACCTTACACCAGAAAGTACAAGGATATTGACAAGGACAAAAGCTTTCTGGTGGAGACATTGATGAGAAGATTGAAAACTATGCTCACATCCACCTGCTGAATGAAACTAACAGCTAGCAGCCAGTTAACTTGGTGTCTGAAAGGAAAGAAAACTGCTTGTCATGCTATGAGGGACAGTGGCACAGCACAGAGGTTGACTAATCGCAATGAAACTTTACATCCTAGAGCACCACTGGAGAACCAACCCAATGTAATTAACAAATTAATTATCAACATTAAATCATACTCGAGATTGATCGTGAATTCATAAAGTAGTAGTAGGTCATATATGCTCTTCATTAACTGATGATATGGTAATCATGAATGCATCAATGCTGATCATGTGGGAAACTATTGTGAAGTGCTACCATCATGGGATTCTGATAATTATATATTGAGTGATATAGAAAATTCTATTGTGATAAATTTTTTTCGTATTCCCTTGCTGTACGGGAGCCCTACTGATATGTTGCTTTTTTTGAATTATCAGCCTAAAACAGATACAGTTACATCTCAATTGATTAGAATATTATTCATTTTGTGTTTTAATTGAAAAGACAATCTTTCTTACTTTAACTTCTTAATGTTCATAATTGTGCCTCATAGTATTGAAAATCAGAAATCAAGTGTCTGAAATCACAATTTAAAATACATATGTCCAACTTCTGAAAAATAAATTGTTTTTTTTTCTCAATACTGCTACATCAATGTGGCGTGGGATGGAGGTGTTGTTTTGATGGCGGCTCTTTTCTTGTCTGTATTTTTGGGTCAGGTGCTCCTTATTTTCCTCTTGACAAATATCCTATAGATTGTGCCAGTCAAGGACAGTAAAATCATAGTCTGCATACCAGGTGGTGGTTTAGCGCTGTGAACAGGTGTCTGAGTCGTGCTGGAAGAGCATCGCCATAAAGTTTGTCAGCAGATGAAAGCTTTAAGTGCTCTAAAAGCTGATAGCTGATAAAGCATAGTGGACTGACAACAACAGATGACATGGCAACTTCAAACCCTCGCAGACTGCAGAGACCTCTTACTGGACACATTTCCTCTCAACTTTAATCTTTCAAGTTTTACTGTGAAATGTTCACATTTACTTTTATGGGAACAGAGGACTTTTGGGTCATTGAAAACTATACTACATGTCTACGTTTTGCTATTCTACATCATAGTATAGCAGCTGAAAAAAGAAAGAAATTTACTGTGTTAGGAAAGACATCACATGCTGTCTAAAGCAGCCTTATCAAATAAGAGTCCACAGATCTACGGAACAGTTTGCATGAGATTGTTTGGAAATTCATCATGTCAATCAACAGTGATATCCACCTGTTTGGCGCCTCTTTCCTGAAAACATCTGTGCGTGGTTACTCTTGATATATGTCAACATCCTCAGCTTCTCCAAAGTTCTTGAATTTACTGTTTCAACAATCCTCTCAAAGCTAGAGGAAATGTCATCCCTGTTGCTCGTGTACCTGTACATACACCATACTTGCCCCTTTGAGTCAACTTTCCATTAAAATGCTTCAATACAGCACTCTGTTAACAGCCAGCTTTTTCAGCACTGACCTTTTGTTGCTTGCTCTTCATGTGGAGGGGGTCTGGATCGTATTAGACAACTGTCAAGTCAGCAGTCTTCCCATGATCGTATTCTGAATTAGACCCAAAGAAACCTGGCCTTTTTTTGTTTGTTTGGATAGGTATTAACTCAAAATAAAATTTCAAGACATATGTTTTTAGCTTTAAAATGATCAAAATCAAAATAGAAAAAATAATCTAAAACATTTTAAAATCCAAGTAATGAGTTTAGAATAAATTAAATATTCACTTTCTTAAGAAACTGACAAATATTGAAATATTTGACTCTATTTTATTCATTAATATGCTTGTGTGTACTAGCTATTGTTATAGGCATGCTAGTATTCTGATCTGCACTGGTAGAAGGTATTAATATAATCAGCATCACTATGACCGATAAAGCAATGGTGGCTACTGCTACCCTGCAAGAACACCTGAGTTCATGGGAAACAGTGTTCTGAGAGCTGTTTGCAGCATATGTAGCAGAGCACCACAGCTTAGCAGGCAGTGTAAATGGACTGTACATATTTAGCACTTTTCTCGTCAAAGTGCTTTTACACTACATGTCACATTCCTTTACATGACACATTTGCACACATAGCAGAGGGTGCTATGTGAAGTGGCTGTTAGTATTACCTGATCCCTTTCACCTATTCACACTCTGCTGCTTATGCTCTCGGTAGCAATTAGGGGTTCAGTGTCTTGTCCAAGGACAGTTTGAGAGACGCCCATCAAACTGTTGACAAAAGGAAATAGTCTCTTTTCTTGTGTTTTTGTAGCCTTGCAGCCTTTTAAGCATATTTGCCTCTTTAACATTTGTGCAAAGTTTTCTTAAGAAAACTATTGTTTCAGCTCCAAAGTTTACCACACCAAACCATACACACATAAATTGCATACTGTTCAGAAGTGGTAACTAAATGCATTTTAAATCTTTCAAGCTTAGGTGGCCCATGCCACCCCATAGATGCCTCAGGATCCACCCCTGTATTAGCTGCAGTGTTGGTAAGCTGAGTCTTAGTTTGGTATCAGTACTGGGGCTAATAGAAGTACACAAGGAGAGGGTGGGGTCAATATTTTGGCCTTAATTCCTGTAAGAAAGCAACGAAGAACATTTCTGGATATGTGGATTTCTTTGTCAAGTTTCTATTTTCTGAAAACATGATTTATTTGGTTCCACAACAGTGCAAGTCTTTGTGAGAGGCAGAATTAAGTTATAATCCCTTCATCACTACCCCTCCCTTCTCTATCAGTTAAAACAGACACTTGTCATCTCCACCTTATGCATAACACCAGGAGGATATTTTGGCTCTTTCCGTTTTCTGACACGTCTAATAAATCTCAGACTCTCCTGCTAGGTCAAGCACTCCATCACTGTGCCAAAACAGGTGGGCCGTATTCTTGTGCGAAACGTGTCCCCCCCCTCCTGTCCACTGAGCAGTCTGTCCTTTTATAGGCTGCGTCCTTGTCCTCCTGTGTCACTCTGCACCGTGACTGGTGTGATCAGACTGACAATACAGCCTGTCTGCCAGGTGCTGTTTTGTAATCTGTAATATTTGCTGAAAAAAAACAAAAAACAAAAAACAAAACAAGGGATGATGGAGCAATAGGGAAAAAAATATACAGCCCAAAATAAGAATGTAGCTCTTGTTGTTAGTTGTAAAAACCAGCACAGTCACCGTTCATCATTTTTATTTCAAATGGTTTGCAAACACTGAACAGATGACCAAAATTTAGGGTGTGTTTTTTTTTGTGTGTCCACTCCCACATAAAGTTTGTTTGCAATGTAAGATGCCTTAAAGTTTATGCCAGTTTTTAACCACGTCAATACTGAAGTAGAATTTTTCCATCAAAACCTTTTTTAATTTCTTATTACCAGCAAAAACAAATTTGATACACAGTCTATAAAGAAGTGCATCATCACAACTTTAGTCCAGATGTTGAGAGTTTAAACACATAGGGGTGGTTTTATCAGACACTTTGTAGACTTCAAAAATGGCTTGATATTCCAAAACAAGTTTTTAGTGTCCATTCTTCTAATGTTTTCAATATTGATGTTGTTGTTAACTTTATAATAAGTGTTTTCGTCTTTGTCCTCCGTTTACATCAACCGTAATTGCTAACTGTCCACTGGCTTTTGTCTTTTGGCATTCTCTGTACTTGTGGGTATGTACACAGTCTTTTCTTTTATAAAACCCCTTGTCCTCTTCTCTCTACCCGGACAAATGAAAATGACAAAATAAAATCAATCAAGGGCAGGCTGTGAAATCTTTATCAAACCGCCAGAACAACTTTTTGTCAGACAAAAGAAGGCTTGTAGAATAGCTTCCTTTTAGCAATGAAAGACACTCCTGCTTTTTTCTTATGTTGCTGCTGCACAAATAATTCAATAATCCTCAAGAAAATACAGCTTTAAGATAGCTTTATCCACTGAACTATTCAAACAAATTCACACTGTAAAGTCATGTCTGTCACCACAAATCATAGTTACAACTGGCAGGCAAAACTGGCAGGACTCAATCATCGTATACTAACATAAACTCTCGAAAACATTACAGACAATATGTTACAAGCTAGCGGCAGCTTAACATCATAGATTTGCACTTTATGTATCATATGTACAAAATCTTTACCCAGAGGCGATGTGATAAACCACAAACCACCATAACAATCAGATATCTACAAAACTGATCTATAACTAGTACCGAACATGTTGTTGAACTTTTACTTTGTTGTTGCTGATGTTTATTTTTCCTTTGAGGATACTCTGACAAAATGTTATGGACTCTTAAATGACGGGGTATGGATCCTATTTCCTATTCTCTGAAATTGTAGCATATTTTATAGAGCAACACCTTAAGATCAACACTTAGTTTTCCCTTATTCAAGCGTTATAGCAGCACAGTTATGCAGAAGATGGTCCGCTTTATCCTCCAAACTCTGGTCAGCACGTTGGCTGTCCATTCATTGGTGCATGCTCCCATCACTCTCACTCCAAAAAGGTGAATTTATGCAAATGTTATCAGATTGCTGGGTTAATCTTCAAGAGTCTTGAAGTCACCAAACTGCCCCCTCCTGGGCAAATTAGCTGATATCTCAGAAACAGCTTCAGTAAGTCTGTTTTCAGTCAACACAGACTCTAAAGATTAAATCCACAGTTGTCTTTGATTGTTGATGCTCTCTCATCTTTCTCCGTAGCTCATTTCCATTTCAAGAAGGGTGTCGCACTTTGACAAATGTGGAAATTAAAATGAGTCGATTCACTGGTGGAGATCAGCGTTGAACTGTAGCCTTCAGATTCTACAAAAGCTGGAGATCTTTGAGCTGTGATACCATTGGTGTTAAAGCAAAGGCCAGTGCCAAGATATATGAAGAGTAATGGCAGGTGAGTTTGGAGGCTGAGCTTCGAGGGATGGCGTTTGAGTCCATGGACTGGTCAAGTTGATGATTCTGAGGAAAAACCCCAAAGGGTTAGTACCACAAGAGTTAAAAAGTTCACAAAAAACAGTTTAAAATGGACATTTCATCTTAGTGGGTTTAAATGTGAACCTTAAATGAAAAAGCGGTAACTCTTAATTTGACACCCATCTGTGTAACGCATCATAAATATATGTATAATGCATTATAATCACATTATAGCACTGTATAACTATAGTTATAAACACTCATAAACGATCATTATGTGTAAAAGCAATAATAATGACACATTATAAAGCATTTTATCATGATTTACAAGGTCAGGTATTATAATGTGTTTCAACTGTTAACAACTCACTGACAATGCCCACATAGATAATGCAATGCAACTGCTGTTAACAGTTATAACACATTATAATACCTGACATTGTAAGTCATGATAAAATGCTCTATAATGTGTTTTGATTATTGCTATAGAGCAGTATGATCATTTATGAGTGTTTTTAACTATAGTTATGCAGTGTTATAATGTAAGTATAATGCATCATGCATATATTTATAATGCGATATAGAGATAGGCGCCAAATAACGTGTTACTAATAAAGCTTACAAATATGTGACACTATGAGGAAACAAATGTGCTGTATTTACATATAAAGATTATGTTTAACATATAAAGGGTAAAAAAAAGAATCCGTGCTTTGGGTGTATTATCAGGTTGAATTAAGGGACTGTAAATAAGGCATGTGATAGGTGGGAGGCTAACCGAAGGGAATAGAAAGGTCAAACATTGAAGGTTAAGTCGCTATGTGATATTAAGTTAATTAGACCTGTTAATGTTGAATGTTACAAAGCATATATCTTGTTGTTGTGAAGCCATCATGGTCAGGTTTGAAAGCTTAGCCCTGCTGACCATTCTGCCATATCTAGCAGGTTGTAAAAAATGAGACCTACTTGTGTTAGAGCAGGTGGAATAAGCCATTAACACAGATCTCATTTAGACAGATCTATTTTAAATAATTGGATGAATGTAACATTTGGATATAAAATTGACATATATACAACCTGATGTATTTGTTAGTTGTACAAAAATGCCTTAGGATGCTGCATGTGTGCAGGATAAGTAAACAGTTCTTACCACACATAGAGAAGTATCCACCGTTACATTTGACACCAGTTTTTGAGCCTGGAAGGAATAAGGATAAAGTCCAAGCACGTTAACTTGTTTGTCTCTCACTTATAATCAAGCTGCTATGACTTCATTGCCCCTTTTGCTCTTCTCATTATTGTGTAATGAAGTAATAGACTTAGCTCAGGAGTTTTTTTGTGGCTCAAGGGAAGACACAGTCTAAAGAAACACAGGGTCAAATAAAATCATTGCTGCATCAAATCATACTCCCACTGTCTGTTTAGTAGTGCAGCACAAAACAAGAGAAATAAGATTTCTGGTAATACTTTTAGTGCTCTCAAATCCCCAAAAGATTAGACCTGCATGGGCCTCTTTGTATAATCAGTCTCCCCGAGCGAGATGTGTACACTTCAAGTGTAAAAGTTTGTGTGAGATCCGGTGTTTATGCCAGCTCAAGGTTATGAGACTTAAATACATTAAAACTTTTTCTCAGACTGCTTTGGACCTTTCCAGCCACACATAAAAACAACCCATACATTTAGTTTGAACACACATACACACAAACAGATACAGAGATGGAGCAGAGAAAATGATAAAGTGACTACAGTGGTTTAGAAACATAATAAAAACCCTGCACACACTGCTTCCTAAGCAGAAAGAACTATATGAAGCAGGATTGTAGAGAAGAATGATTAATTGCTCTGTAGGAGGTCTTTGCTCCTGGAGGGTGATATATCATATTATCGCTATTTAAAGCCAATATGATATATTGTCTCTCTTAAACCATGTGATATCATCTCATTTAAAAAACACAGTGCAGCCCCGTACTACTTATCTGAGTTTGAGAAAAGAGGTCTGAAATAAAATAAGTTCTGCAACACCTGTGAGCAGGTTTGAGCCAAACTAGCTGTTTCTGATGTTAAATGTCAAAATCAGCACATTGAAATGATTTCCTCTGATTCCAATTGATATTTCACAACAGTTTTTAATTTACATGTCATTATCTACGGCTGCTGTGAACTTTTCTGCCAGCATGTTTCTGAGCCATATATGACATTTTGGTCTTTAATAACTTGAAGATTTGCGTAATATGGTTACACACAGGCTGAATGGGAGATTCAAAAATGTTTTCGAAAAATGTTGGTCTGTGAAAAAAAAAGTAACAACATTGGTTAATGATGACACAGCGATGACACCGTAAAAGTAGGTTTTATAACGGTGATTTGGATCAGTCTTTGCAGAACAAGCCAACTCAAGAAATTGAGTCCTAAAACTCAAATATTATACAGCTTCTGTTAAAAACTTTTTCCTGTGTTAATATGGTCCTCCCTGTGGACAAATAAATTTACCTCATTGTCTTGCTGACCTTATCCTATCCTGTAAGAGTTAGGAGTAGTTTTTGCTTAGTCATGATAGGATGGGATACTACCAAGCAATACAATATACTTTGATATAACATGATATATTAGGGGGTTTAGGGATGGCGAACTACAACCACGTCTATTAAAAAACTGGTTTTGCATTATTCAAAACTTTAAAGTTTTTAATGTTTGAGTTTAACAAATGTGCTGTCGAGTCTTGAGGGTCCCATGAAGTGATTTTAAACTTTGAATTAAGTCACGTTGTGTTGATTAAATCAACGGTGAACACACCTTAGTTTTTGAAAAACAAAGGTAACATTCAGAAGATCAGACAGAGATTCTAAAGCTAATGACAGGAAGAAAAGAGGGGGTCTGGCTTTATTAGTCAGCCAGAGATGGTGTAACTCTTCACACATAACTGTTAAGGAGAGGATGCGTTGTCCAGATATTGAACTGTTAGCAGTTGCACTTCGGCCGTATTATGTTCCAAGGGAGTTCAGTCATATCATAACAATACATGTATACATCCTACCAAAGGCAACGGCCGAAGTGCCATGTAATGTTCCTCATGAAACAGTTGCTAGGATACAGACTCAACATCCTGAATAAAGTTCCTGTATTGTATTATATTAAACCACACAAAGAAGAAATCTGGTGGTCTGTTGCTTGCGATCAGGGCTGAGGTCCAAAGTGAGGCTACATTTTACCAAAGCTAAAGATGGAGATGACAGGAGAAGCTGCTTATGTTGTGAAATATAATCTTACAAGGGGAGAAACAACCTCCATGTGCATCAACTCAAGCCAAAATACAGTTTTGAATATCTGCCTGAATCCACTCTGTGAACTCCTGCTGCAGGTGTTGCAGGGCTGCCATCCTTTGCTTCCACTCAAAGCAGCCAGGGTGAGCACACCCAGATCTTTTAGCGAGTCCCATTTGTTAAAAATCATAATCCAATGTTAAAATCAATGTTGAAATCATCAAGATAAAAGCAAGTCCAGTTAACTAATCACTGTGACCTATGTTTACATTATGAAACGTTCAAGGTCAGGTTGGTAAAATAAGATTTAAACATAAGTGCATAGTATGTTATCACCATGTGTTCGAATGTGATGTCCAGAAAAAGAAAAAAATGGGGGGTAAAAAAGCTGTTACAGTATTTTGAAAGAACACTAGAACAACAGAAAAGACTTGATATAAGTATCAGACTTGATACCAACAATTTATGTATATAAACGTGTAATTTATTTATTTTTTGTGCTAATTTAATAAATTAACTTGTTAACATATTAACCTATATGACTGTTTCTGTAGCCGCTATGATGAGTTTGCCAATGTCACTCTGTCAACTTTTTCCGACAAAAATGACTTATGCTGCTTTCTTTTAACCCTTTCATTTGTACCCCAATAAAAATATGGCAGAAAATGGAAACAGAGCTATTTTATTAGAACTTGTTAATAGTGTTGCTGATCTGGTGTGGTTTTTTTTTTGGAGCTTATCAGAGTGATCACAGATGATTCAAACCTGGTTCATACCATTTAAAAAAACTCCTCAGAGGAGCTTCATAGAACTCTTGTAGGTCACTGATGCTAAAGATAGTGAAGGTTGTAGGTTTACCCTTTTTCACCCTTTTTGACGGGTAAGTAGTTGGAGAGAAATCCCATCATCGTATCATATGCATGAATTTTGAGTCTAATGTCAGTAAACAGAAATGACATCTTTATTTCTTAAACCAAAAACAGAAGCTAAGCTTTTAAGACCAAAATTGTGGCAGTTACTGACAAAGATAGTGTGTCTCTGAGCGCACATCCGCACACACACACACATGCACTTACACACCCACACATACAAACACACATGCACACAGACAGACACTCTCCCCCTGTGGGCCCTTTTTGATGTTACTGTGGCAACCAATTAGCTTGACATGACAGCTTTGGAGACTGTGACTCCACACTGACGTCTCATCTTTCTGCCCAGGAGGGGGGATTCTGCTCGTGCTGTCATAAAACCGTCACTGATCCCTCAAGGTGACTTCTGGCAGACTTCTTACACTCCGACAGAAGCTCTGAATAGATCTCTTCCAGATTTTTTGGGAGGAATTTGGACTTACATGCTTTGTTCAGTGGTTCTAATGGCTATTAAACTTTGAACAAAAATCCTAGAAATTCATCAAAGATAAATGAACACAGGTGAAGATTTAGGCTTTGACTTTTCCTTAAAAATGACAGGAACAGTTTTTTGTGTTTTTCAATGACCTCAAAATTTGACCCCTTGGTTAACCCTTTCTTGTTTGTCTAACCAGGACTTCTTACCAGCTGCCAGTACCCTTTACTGTCCTCTCCATATTACAATTTTCCTGGGGACTGATGATAGCAACCAAATTACATGACCCAAAGTGCACTCCTTGACTCTGTTTTCCCCACAGAGTAACATCAAATTAATGTAAACTCATAACAAGTCTCAACGGAGCTGAATAAACAAGGAAAATCTGAGCAAAAAAAAGTTGTCAGTAATATTTGAAAGGCTCTAAAAAGGAGCAAAAGGAACATAAAATGAAGCAAAGTTAATGACACAGGTGTAGATTTATACGTCTATTGTTATTGTGACACTCTGAAGTAGTTTATTCATTAAATATATGTTGTAAAAATCATTATCTGTTGGTATCTTTTATCAACTGTAGAAATTTAGAATATAATACTCATGATGTAAGGAGAGTGTGGCTGTTGCCTTGGTGTAAAGTTAGTCCCACTTGTTTCACAGTAACTCGTAAGACTATTAAAATATCTGTTAACTCTTTGTCACTTCCTGAATCAGCCGTAATTTAGTAGGAGTCAGCATTTCCAGTCAGTATCTTAATGGATGGTTAAAGTCAGAAAAGTGGTTTAGTATTCTTAAACTCTACCTGTAATGTCCCACAGATGTGGTATGATGACTGTCCATGTAGATCCAGTTTGGTCACATCTGTCAGAGAATCCAGTGCATTACTAGTTCGGTCTTTTCCCCTCCGTGTGGTGCCTGGCTCCAGCACAGTTGGCTGGATAGGGGGCTGGGGTTGCCACACTCCAACATCTGTACCATTTCCAAATGCCTGGATGGCATTACCTATAAAGACAGAGTGTGTATACACATGGATGTTTTGCAGGCATGTAAAGCACAAGTTAGAAATACAGTGCTGATGTATAAAGTGTCACAATGAACTTTCACATGCAGAAAGTTAAAGTTTTATGAGATCACCACAGCCTTCAAAAATACCCAGTGAGTCCTTTTTTTTCCTAAAGGCTTCTCACTTAACAAGATAGCTGATGTCTTCTGTCCTTTCCTTGAAAATAAGTGCAAGAGGCATGGCCCTGAACATTTAGTTAGAGTCCGACTAAAAGCTGCTTATAATTGATACTCTAGATAATTGGCCAGGAAAAGAAATGACTTGACCTTTCTGAGGAGTAGTTTAAAAGCTATGTCTGCTGATAATAGCTATGATTCACAAAGAGGTACAAAAGTGAACTTTATAACTGTCTGGCATTAGAAAACTTCAAAAACAATTCATGTAATTTAATTTTCTTATCCTTTGTAAGACATTTAATCTCAGTTACCTGTTCATCGAGTTAATAAATATGGGCAGGAAATAAATTTTGTATTGATCCAGTCATAGAGAAGAAAAAAAGATTTATTAAACAAAACTGCTGTCAAAGCAATAAAGGATTACAATTCACTTGAGCCGTGGGTTGTTATTCAATTTAGGAAATCCTAGTTATCAGACAGTGAAAAGGACAAACTTTCAAGAGGTTCAACAACAGCCATACTCGCTATCAGATACTAATCCTGTTTGAGGTGAAAATCTCCCACATCCACACAAAATATTTTGTCCATTTGATCTTACAGTATTTTTCATTCTTGACCGCAATTCCATTACTTAGGGCAAAAACTAATACCACTAAGACCACTGAGATACAAATTTATACATTGTACAACGTTTTTTTTATTGCACAGTTTTTGGAGCATTTTCCACCTTTTGTTTTGTTGAGATTTGTGAGAGAGAGCAATGATACTCGCTATCAGATACTAATCCTGTTTGAGGTGAAAATCTCCCACATCCACACAAAATATTTTGTACATGACAGTATTTGACCTAAAAGCAGTCTTTACAGCGGCCATAATACTTGTTGCTACCATTCAAGTGAAAAAGTTCAGGGGCAGTTTTTTGGTCTAATATGAATCAACAGCTAGTGCACTGTCTGTAACACCTTTTGAGCTGTATCCGAGGCTGAATTTGCTGTTAAATCTGCTCTGCTGACTTTCAGTTAGTGTTGATTTTGGCGCCCCCTGCATGCAGACATGTATATTTAATCACTTTGCTGATCTTGTACTGTCTATGCTAAGTTAGGCAGTAGAAAATGTAAAGAAATAATGTTTCTTTCACCTACTGTCAGTTGCCTGGTTTGACACCTTCTTTCTCATCAGGGTTTCAGATATAAACCCTGACATCTCAGAAATGGTCAGTTTTGTTGATGATGGTCTCGTTTACATTTGAAAGTCACAGAGGCAACAGTGTTTATCATTAAACTGCATTTAACAGCTATCTGAAAGCTCCTCACAGGGGGCTTTAAACAACCCTTACTACAAGGTTCAATGGAAAATGTTTTTTTTTTTTTTTTTTTTGCATGATGGTAAGAAATGAGAGCTCACGTAGGCATCGATTGCTGGTAAAAAACTCGGCGAATCTTTCACAGTCTGGCTTGCTGTTGCCGCTGCTGCTGCAGTCGCACCATGGTGACAGGCTAATACCGAGTGACCGCACATAATTTGGTGTCATTACCGTACCTGCAACACAAAAAGAGAAGAATATTGTTAGCCCTCAGAAAAACGGTCCCACTCCTGTCGTTTAAAAACTCATGGAGGACAGATTGAATGTCTTAAAGTGGGTTTGCAAAGGCACCGATCAACAGTAAAAGCTGGCTGAAATGGTGTTGAAATGGAGGCCTATCTAAATGCTAGGACTTCACAATGAATTAGATTTTCATCAGGATCTTGATTTCAGCCTTCTTATATTTAATGTAAAAAGTAGTAGTAACCATTAAGGTTTTAAATGCTGCAACTGTTAATGCACTCTGAGTGGTAGTCCATTGAAAGTATGTCCAAGAAGTACCCTATTTAAATCACCTCAGATTTAATGTTGGCCACTCTGTATATTCAAATGTTGCTCGCCTCTAAATTAAATAAAAAAGGAATTGTGATTAAAAGTATGATCTCAGTACTGATCAAACTAATTGTCGATTCCGACAGAGATGGAGGAAAAACCACTTTAGACCATTTCAAGAAATTCTCTGATGCTGTATTTTACTCAAAAAGTTAAACACTTGTCACACACAGTCCATAAAAAATGTAAATGTTTGGGTCTCAACACGATTCGGAGAGAATCAAACAACTTACTGAAGGTTTGACTGATTATCCTATTATGCAATCCAACACTTGTGTCCTCCTGGCCATCAAGTTAAAATCATCAGAGTATTATTGGCTCCAAAGAAATTGGCTGGTGCTTATAAAACATCACACTAAACAAGCGTCAGCTCCGAGTTTGAAGTGATCCTTTTCCTGGACATGTTTGGGTAAGATAATCATTGAATAAGCCAAATAAACACTTGCTGAAGAACATTGCTGTGTCTAACTGTCAAGAAAATCAGCCCCAAGTATGAAATAAAACTGCTACTTGGTTGGAAACAAATTCCCCTGTATCTCGTGGTCCACAAACATACATTCGAGCATATCATCTTCATTTACTTCACTGAACCACATAACTGAAAATTTTATCTGACGTAGGGCCTTTAATGTGATAAATTGATGAAAATGTAGCTCTAAAACAAGGCCTAAGTACTTTATACAACATTACTTAATGAACCCTTTTATTCAGACTGGTCTGGTTTGGACATTTATTGTGGGGCTGCTTTACACTAATAGTTCAATCTTGTTTAAAAGAGTTGTGAAAAGTGTTTCTAACTCTGCTGTTGCCCACCACCCATTGCGCGTCCTGTCTTAGAGTAACTGAATTAAACTGTTCCTTTTCATAGGTTGAATAAGGTTGAGTCAGCTTGTACTTGTTAGCTGTGTGAGTTCATTCAGAGCTCTTTGTGCTCAGACAGAGATGAGTGGTTCAACTGGGGGGGAGCCATTAGAGGGTGTAACCTGTGCGAAGCAGAATGTGAACACTGTAAATTAAAATGTCCGCCTGTTGAGTTGGCAATTGGTCACAGTTGCCCTGCATTCAAATCTCATTACTAAAACTCAGTGGGACGTCATTTTCCCTCTCCACTTAATGAAACCTGCTGATGGAAAAAAGGCAGAACAAAAGGAAACACGCTTTAATCCTGCACACTGCTTTGATGCATTAACTGTGATGGCATGTACACCCCAAAGAGACACAATATGTTGACTCTTACCCCATCTGTGTGGCTGTTGTGTTGATTCGGTATCTCAGTCCTCACTTGCCAGTGAACAACCGTAAATGAATATAAACACATTCCCCTTCTCTAGGAAATGTATCCACCAAATTTATTTATTTAAATCAAAAAAGTGTTTTTGTTTGACTCGTCTGGTTCATCACTTGTAGGGATTAAAAAGTTTTGAGGGAGAATATCGGATTGTCTTGGCCTGCATCTTAATTCTCCGATATCAGCACTGCGATACAAGCAGTCCATTCAGTACTTAGCTCCATATCGTAGTCCATGTAATCACAACATCAGTGTGTACTAAGGTACTAACAAAGTAGCAAGGAGTAGGAGTGATGTGGCTGTGTGGCAGTATATTTTGTTTAAGTCCGAAAAAGATGTTGTAGCTAAGTGCAAAACTTGCCATGCACAAGTTTGTGCCAATATTGGATCAATATACTGAAGGCTACAATATTAGTATCGTATCAGAAGTAAAAAAGTTGTATCGGACACCCCTAATCAATATCCTCATCAGTGTCAGAAGTAATTTTAGGAATTCTACTGTGTCTATTGTCTCATATCGCAATTTGTGGTTAAAAGTTCACCAATTAAAATAATATTTTACGCTGGTTTAAAATGGCACCTTGAAAAGCTTTTCAGCAAATCAGGCAGGAACAATGAATTTAAACCCTTCCTTCCCATTGGAGTCGACTGATTTGGTTTTCCAGAGCTGATACATTTACCAATTATCATGAGACCGATAATTTGTATTTAGAACCGATATTCTGCTGCTGAGCAGGCGGAGTAATCGTAATTTTTCTGGATAAGTTACAAACAAAAACAGTCAGTTGTGACAAAAAAGTACAAATGTTTCAACAACCAACCTAAAGCATAATTTTTCCCTAATCTGAAGTATTGCTGTCACCTTAATCCAACCATGGAAGCGCGAACAAAAACCCTGAACGTCTCTATGATTCTGGCACGGTGCTTTAGGAAAGTGGACTGATAAGTGCTCCACCTCTTATCAGTCTGACATAAGCTTCAAACTGCTGACAGAGAGCACACCAGTAAAATCAGACAGAAAGGAGTTTAATAGCTTAGAGACTGATTGGCAAGTCATTTTGATAATTTGAGAAATGGCATGACTTTGATTTGACTCATTCCTTGTGAGCTTCCTCCATAACTGCAGGATATTTTCTTATTTGTGTCGTTGCAACTTTGTTTAATTAGATTCCACTGATTGTTGAGCAACAACACATCAACAAGCAGATTATAACAGATGCATCAGAATTCCTCAAACTCATTTATTAGTTTTGGCAAAATCTGAGGCCAATTTTGAAAAGCTTCCAAATAACTCACCAATAAGCCCCGAGTAAGACAGCAGACAGTCGGCATAGTTCTCCCTCAGACAGCCAGATATGGAGCGAGCTTCAGGCTGGCAGGCGCTGATGAAGTCTGCCAGCCTTGACCTAAAAACAACACAGATACAAATTAAAGATGCTAATTTCTTGATGCTCTTATTTGATAAAATCATACTCTGGGCTTAGGGCTAGGCACCAGCTTGCAAAATAGTCTTTTGCCTATTTTCTGCTCCTACTTTAGATGCTCTCCTAAAATAAATGACATAAAAAAAGAACACTTTGAGGTTTGAGGGAACTACCATAGACTCAGTGAAACATGAGCATAGTCTCTGTGACTTCACCTGTTGGTTTCTGAAATACATTTTGGAGCCAAATGAGAGTGGGTGCCATATTGGAAATGCTAACGCAACCTAGCTTACTCTTAACCCAGAAACCAAGACAGCCATAGAGCTGAGGCTTTTCGCTCCCTGGCAGGCACTAATGTGTAAATATACATATCACTCTTAGCCTGGCTGTATCTTACCTTAATGTGTGCATTATAGATGAACTCCCTATAGTTAGTTCAAATAAAGAAATAAGCTTTATGGACTAAAACCAGGCTGTAAACATGTCAATTTCTGTCATAAAAATGGACATTATGGGAATGACTTAGCTTTTGCAGTGAGTGTCAAGTGGACACTCAAGGAACTGCAGGTTTTTGCACTAATGCAAAATAATTGAATTATCGTAGCCTCTCAAGGAGCTTTACAGGAGAAACCAAACCACAATGACTTTCCAGCTTTAGGACTATCAAGGAATCTTCTCATGCCATGTTTTTATTTTCTTCACCAAATACTGGAGGGTTGAGAAATATCAGTACAGATTATTGATCAAATCCAAACAATGAACATCTGTAATTTTGTCATTCTGAGATTGTCATGGGGACTGGTACTGTCCCAAACAAACACTGACAAAGAAGAAGAAAACTGCTCATCCATCGACCAGAACAGAAAACTGTAACCCATCTTCTTTTAAACCCAGTTTGGGGTTTCTGCTTTTACTTTGGTGTTCATGTGTTTCACAAGAAGGTTCCCAGCATGAGCAGCGGGAAGGGCAGCAAGCTGTCCAGTAAGGTTTTCTTTACATGAGATAAGATAGCAATCCCTGATGAGATTATAAAGACGTCTGGCAAGATACTTACCCATGGTGCACTATGTTTTCATGAGACCCTCCTTTTCAAGCCAACCAGAGTTTGTTTATTTGGTCTGCACCAGAGTTTAAATGAGTCCAAACATAGCAGATTATCCAAGGAAACAGATCAGGGTTTGTTTTAGGTGAACGCAACCTGAGCAACTTCTCATAAACAAAATTAAAGTTGGGCTCGCAATTTTCTGTCATTTAAGATAATGAATGCTCAGTCTCCATGTTAAATACAGGTAAACGTTTCCACAGGAGCTTTCTCAGCAGGCAATATGTTCTAAATTAAGATAAGAATAGGTTTCGACAGAAAAAGAGGCTGAATAAATGATGCGTACACCTTTTTTAGCAACTGAAAACTACCATAACAAACTCAGATGTGTAATTATGCTTTTAGTTTCAAGCAGAACAGACAGAAATATGAGGAAAATTGGACTGCCTCTTTGGCTTCTTATACCTGCAGATGTAGTTGGTCTTGCATGTGTTCTGGAGAGACAGACAGTTCGGTTTGTCTTTGTCCTCATAGGAGCAGATGGGTACAATAGTTTGTCGTCGGCGTTCTGCACATGCTGTCTGATCCCCTGATGGACATGAGCAAAACAGCATCCCGTAGCTGTATTTGGTTGGGACCTTGAATTTTGGGTGGAAACAAATAACACTTAAAGATACTGTTAAAAATACCTTTTATGGTCTATATATTTACATCCTTGTGGTATAAAAAGTGTTTTTTAATCAAGTTAAGTGTTATGTGATTTCAATAGTGAGATTAGATTACAGTGATTTATATGCCTTGTAAACTATATTTTTTCACACCTGGTTTTGAGTCCAGTTCAAGCAAAACCAATCAAAGTAGAAGCTGCAAATAGCACTTAAAATCAACAATTACCTTGTCAAAGAACTGACGCAGGGCTTTGTGGCACTTGCGCTTGTTGCAGACCTCAGAGGCAGACACCCTGTTGGTACAGGGGTTGATGTAAGCCGAGCGATACTTCTTGCAGGTGTCATTCAGGTTGCATGCTTTCGCAGCGTTCAGACAGTTGTTCTCCTTTGTGGATGCAGGCTCCGCTACAAAAGAAGAGTGACACATCATTCAGGGTTGTTTATGCGATATTTATTGCCTTCCTGGGCAGAGTTGTACCTTTTGTGAAGTTGTTAACACATCATAAATGATCAGCTCCTGTTTAGAAATAAACAGTTGAGTGAATTCTGTATGAGACAAAATCAGAAATGTTGAAAATATTTAAAAATACGGCTAATATTCTGTCTGCTCTTGTTTTTTTCTTGATTGGTTGTTAAGATGCTTTAGAATCTATATCCATTCATTTAGTGAAATCTTTTATCTCTAGTTCCATCCTCCGTCTTCTGTGTCTATCAGGTGACTGTGATGTAACTCAGAAAGGAAAATTAAGGTTGTTGTACCACTATTATCATGAAAAATCAAAACAATGAGAAGCCAGTATTTATTTATCTCAGGGTCATAACCAGAACAGAGTTTTATTTGATGTCAAAACACGTCCATTAGATGTCCTTTCATTTAATTAACCCACTCTCCAGTTTAATGCTCAATTTGCTATATTTAACTGGAAAAGAGCTAATCAACAAGAAACACTGAACCCTGTTGAACTCACTTATGCTTTTATTTACCAACAAAACATTATATAAGTTGTGTGAATATGTAGACTTTTGTTTTGGGGGGTGGGGGTTCATTATCACGCCAATTTGTTGCTCCAAAAGGGCCATTAGTCTTAGTTGCTTTGTTTTACCTTGAAACCCTGAGCTCTTCAGGTTATTATCATATCCTGCTCCCAGACCTCATTAGATCTGATATCTGCAACAAATCTCTGTAATACAGACCAACCTCTCATCCCTCCCACTTAGACGGACTTCAAACGTAAATACCTATGTAAATAATTTTTTTCTCACCAATTAAAAGCGAGAAAACAACTGCAAGTGAGTCAAACATGACTCATTACATTAAACATTAAAATCAATAAGACAAACATAATAATAATAATAATAATAATAATAATAATAATAATAATAATGGTATATCTGAAAAAAGTGCTTGATTTGAGAGGCATTTGATATGTGCATGAACTTAATTACTTGTCTGTACCAAATACTACATTTAAGGGTGAGAGTGACATTGGCTTTGACAAACACATTTTTTACTTACAATTTTTACATATTTAATGCTTTCCAAAACCAATGATTTTACAACAGTGTTGAGAGGCAAGATGAAGTTTGATTCCTTGCCGTTGATTTGTTGGATAAACCGGATCGTGTGATAAGGTTGACCCCGGTGTTGCCTCTCAGGATGCCGGCTAATCACAGTGTCGAGTATTTAAAACAGCCAATTAAAAATGAAATACAATTACTTAATCCAAATGTGCATATTTAATAAAGAAAATCTTCAAACATGTTCTAAAGCAAAGACTGAATCTGAACAGCATGTAAAAAAGACTCATTTTTCATAACCCTTAGGACAAACATCTGTACAACACAGAGAAAGTGCAAGCCATTCTGCTTTTGGTTGCAAGGTATGTATTTGCACAGATAACAAGATGCCTGCCCAAGAAGAAATTTCTATATTTTATGAGTCCGCCAATGTTACAGTACGAATCTGCAGGAACAGACACATGATGACTGTGCAGCATGCATAGAAATTACAGTGGTTACTAAAATAATCCAATTCCGGTTGCAAAATTGAAAGAAAATTTGTAAAAAGTAGAGGGCACTGAAACACATTCGAGAGTCAAATAAATTCGCAGAAAGCTGATCAGCATAGTCCTGTGAGTTTAAAAGTTTGCAAAAAGCAGGTGTTTCTGTGCTGAAGGAAATAACTGGACTGGAAATTTTTCATAAAAAGAAATCATCAAAATTCATAATTAAAGATACTATTTACTTTCAAGATCTCCAATGCTTGACTTGAGTGATAAACTCAGATTGAGATTCTGCTATGGGTTACATAAACACATTCATCTTGGCTTCCATCCTGATAGCATGTCTTATTCCTTCCATCAGATCAAAAGCAGCACTATAAGGCCTACAACAATGACTCTCACATCTTCGTTTCCTCATTTGTTGTACTTGAAGTCCTTCCTGCTTGACTGACTCCTGCATGGTAACACAAACTGTATCCTTAGCGTCAGCACGGACGAGTGAATTCAGTAATTCTGCCTTTTGAGGTGGAATTGAAGCTCGCTGCTCTCTTTCATGCACCACAGACTGAGCCATGATTAAATCTGAATACATTCTTGAACCTTGGGTTAATCACATATTACAAAACCCATTACTTACATCTGACAAGTGCCTGGAGATGTGGGCTGTGATCCTTCAGTGGCTGTTTGTAGCTCTTGGATTGAAGGTGTGACAGTTCTACCTCAATTACTGTTACACAAAGGATAATGCTTACTTTGGGAAGTTTTTTTTTTTTAACTTTGAGGACTTTATTCAAAAGTTGTTTTATAATTATGTTGTATATATACAAATTACAGATGATCCAGGCCATGAGTTACTGAGCACTCTATCTATCTATCTATCTATCTATCTATCTATCTATCTATCTATCTATCTATCTATCTATCTATCTATCTATCTATCTATCTATCTATCTATCTATCTATCTATCTATCTATCTATCTCATAAATGTAGAACATTAAAATATTTGGTTTGAAGCCTTCAGGCCAAAAAGAAAAACAACCTTGAATAAGCCTTCTGAAATTTCAAGCCGAGAGCAAGACCACCATGCAACCACTATTAGCCAAAATAAGAGGTCGGTTTAGCCAATACTGGAATCTGGCCTTTGACCCCAAATTCATTAACACAAAAGACTTTCAGAAAGCCTGCCAGTCAGGTAGGGGTACATATGAATGCCTAAAGACGGGTTGATCATGGTGTCCCTGGGGGTGTTTTCACTCTGATACCGTGAAGGTTAGTGCCTCATTATTGTACAGCTGCCAATATGCTTGGTATTCTGAAGCTAGTGAAGGTCTAACCATACGCATTTTTCTTACACTCTTTTTAGTAGGAAAGGTGATCTTCTTTTTGGTTGTACTTGTGTAGAGAGGTTACATGGTCTTCGAGAATCAGGTTTCCTTTCAAGAACATAACCGAGGACCCTTTGAACCACATCTATCAGATTGTGTAATCCCAAATATGTCTTTGAGGCAGGCTTTCATTGGCCAGTCATCTCTGAAATAAGGAGTACTAAGAGCAGAATTTCCTGGACTGATGCCATAAAATGATAGAGGTGATGATGTCAGGCGCAGTGGAGCTGATCCTGAAAATCATTTTTTCTATGAGTGTTTTTTCCCCACTGTGGTAGGTATAGATAATAATGTTCTGAATGTTCTGAGAAATGTACAAGCCTACTTGTTTTTTTTTTCTCCAAAAGCATGTGATAATAAAACTGTCCCTGTATCTGTGTTGCACGATAAACGTTTAATATCTAAGAAAGAAAACACTGAACAGAGTATTAATGTGAAGCTCAACAAGAGCCAGGTGAGTGTAAGGATATCTAGAGGACACATGTTTGCAGAGCTTGATCAATTTATTTTAAACTCAGTGAAGATGGTAGGTTTTTGTGCAGCAAGCAAATCACTGCACAAGGTGTACTTAGAAGGTGTTGCTTGGTAAATATTAAGAGTATTATTGGTTATTTTTAGTTACAGTTTTTTCTATTGATAATGGTAGACTAATACTTTTGATACTGATACATATTTGATACGTTATTAAAACAAATCTATAGTTCAGGATTCTGTAACCTTTGCTCCAAGTGTGAATAAGTCATCCTTTATACTGATGATTACTTGTTTTACATTGCAAAATTGTGGTATGGTTGTTTCTCTTTCAACTTGTCTCAACTATTTACACAATACACTGACTTTTTTGTATCTTTTCTGATTTATTTTTGGGCTTAATGGAATTTCCTACTGTTAGGTAGTTTCTGCAGAGTGAATAGCTCAGTGTGGCCTCATGCTACACTCTTTGTAGGTGACAGAATTTTCACATTGAGGGGACCCAACAAAGCAGCAGTACCAGCAGTATTAGCAAGGAGGGCACATAAGACTGTCAATAGCCATGTTTACATGTGCAAAATTTTTTGATCCGATTAAAATTCGAGGGATTGGAAAATCTGAATCCACTGTTCATAATACGATTATTATGTGGGTATACATGTGCCAAACTTTATTCAGATTAGAAGTATTTTGGACATGCGCAGAGTCATGGGCCAGGTTCTGAGGGTGGTTGTATTGCTCCTAGCTTACTCATATAGCAGGCCCAGTAGCACATACTGATCCTGTGTTACATGAGGAGAATTTATCCAGCAAGAAAGTTGTGTCAGACACAGACCAACTGTATTTAGATCCAGCCATGACGGCAGAAAAGCGTCACATTGACATAGGGTACACATGCGCACTCAGGTTAGTTTTGCCTCCAGAGAGAGTCATAATCGGAGTAAGTGTTTACATGGATGCCTTTCGGAATAACGATCGGCATAAACCACCCTTCTTGTTCGGTATACAATCTTTCCGATTGAGCTGAATTGGATCAGAATCTTCCGATCAACATTTTTACATGACGTATTTTTATTTTGATCGGGCCTTTATTCCGATTATTTGTGCCCATGTAAATTCAGCTAATATTTAGGGACCTGTGCCCGTCAGTCATTCAGCGTGAGCCTCCGCCTCCACAGACAAAGAAAAAAAAAAAAAAGCAAAGCCTCCACCTCATCATGTCCACTACCTATGACAACAGTGAGTCATCTTCTGGAAGAATAACTTCACACCCTGTGCTGGTGAGCAGAAGTTAGTGCTAGAGTCTACTGTGGGAGTACTTTGCCTACAGAGCCAACTCTAGTGGCAAATCAACTCAAAGTCTGTACTCAAACAATGCTACACAGCACTATCATGCAAGGGCAAAACACGAGCTAGTATCTAATTAGTATTAAGTTTCAAGTATCATTCCAGTTTCAAGCAAAGCGATAATAAACTTGGTATTTTTGTCAAAATTTTGGTCTGAGTCTACAATCTGTCTTCTATTTTCCTCTTAAGTTAAAACACAAAATACTGAAAACCACAAAAATTCTAAGTTGCTCAGTCCCTGTATGTTACTAATGGCTGTCCAAAACCCTCCTTCACAATTTGCCATTGCTGTACTTAATGCTCCCAAAGTTATCCTTCCACTAAGTGCCCTCTTTGTCATCTCATTATGGAAAGAAAACAGCAGTGGTCGCAGCCCAATCTTTTTATGGCGCCCTGCCTTCTACCAGGCTCTCTGCCAGTACTACTATATTCATGGCAGCCTCTCAGTATTTATGACCAGACCCAGAACCCATTTATTAAGTGCACCCATGTAATTAGCAAAATCTCACATAGTTCCAAGAGAACCAGCTATTCCTTTCCTTTATTTGATCCCGCAGATCGTCTTTCATGCTTCATTCATTTAAACAGTACTCTCTCTGCTAGCCAACGTCTGCCAGACTCACTCTGATGTTGAACAAAGAGTGAAACCCCAACAGACAAGGCAACAAATACAATACTATATTGATGGATGGATGGTAGCCTGAGAAAGTTGCTGAAGTGTTTATGCTTGAACTTTATCCACGGAGTAAGAAGAGGAAAAAGTTCCCTTTAAATCCAAAGTAATACTCTAGGTTTTATTGAAGCACACAATGTGATGGGAGGTAATCTACTTAAGGTTTAATCAGCACAAAATGCCTAGGTTACACATGCAGTACATGAGCCCGAATAAATCAACTCTAAAGTAAAATGAGTAATACCAGAATGTCAAATGACAGTAATTTAGATCAATATTTTCATTTTTGAGCCTTTTTAAAAAACTTTTTGTGTGTTATCCTACTTACCACCTCTGTGCTGGGACAATACATATAGCCTGACGTTAATGGCCCCAAATATTTGTTCAAATATAATATCTTGACTGGGAAGACTCACTTTGGATGAAAGTGCATTTTAACGCAGGACTTTTATTTGAAATGAAGGATTATCACAGTCTTTTGGCCCTTATTCTTAAAACGGTAAGACTCAAGGTCCTTACACAATGGGACCGACGCAAATATACAACGCGAAATTACGAAATATTTCGAGGCGAATCTTGACGCGCCTGACGATACATATCAAGCCCGATGCGATTTTGCGACTTTCCGGAGGGAAAAAAGACGTGTCCCGGGTGGAACCAAGAAGACTGACACAAAACCACACTGACTGTTTTTCAGTTCTGATTAGACACTAGTGTTAAGATGTCTTTCTGTCATGAAAGCATGTACTGAGTTGGGGCCAGTACCAGATAAGCACATTCAACCATAATCCATAAGCGTTAGGTAACAACCAAGACCTAATGGTGCTGTGACAGCAACGCAATTGAGTTTAAGACAGTGAAAATACATATGGTATGTTGTATCTGAACAGGTTAGCTTACTAGCTCAAGTTACTTAGCACAGATGAAAGTTAAAACAAAGACATTAAGCAAACTGTTAAAGCACACAAACTATCGTCTATCGTCTATGACTCGCCACAAGTTGTCCTTTAATATTTGTAATGTTTGTGTCTTTTATCAAAAAACACGATGTTCCCCGACATGTAAACAATCAGCCGGTCGGAGATGTTGGATATACCAGTGAATCAGACGTTGCAACAACATGCAATCTGATTGGTCAGAAGTGGACACACAGTATGCGTAATTTTAGAAAAATGGACCGTGATTTGAAAAAATGAATGCCGCAATATCGCAGGACGGGAAAACGTCGCTGATGTGAATGCTTGTATTGACAGGATATGGGTTCGAAAAAAATATTGACGTCTGAAATAATCATATGAAAACGGTCCCTGTGTGAAAGGACCTTCAGGCTGACAGCTTTGTATTTATACGTGTTGATGATCCAGTCTGAGGCAATGAATAATGTAAAACCAAAACTAATTTAAAAGGGTTGTGAATATATTGAAATACAATTTTCAACCTACAGCCACATGTCTATAGATTTTTCTACAGACACAGCACACACGTTAACTTCTTATGCTATCAGACACACTGTTTTTAATTGTAGGAATGGGAAGGTCGAAAAATTGTGATTGTGATTAAATCTTGACCAATTGTGTAGCCATACTCTATAAAGATTTACGTTTGCCTTGGCTCACAACAGAATGACTGTGCAGTTCTTCAAATGCATTACTACAGTAAAGGAGACCCCTGAGACATATGGAAAGCTTCATGGTGACTTATGTTTTAAGTGCAAGACTGCTTCTGTCACTGTCACATGCAGTGTGCCGGTGATTTCAATGGCAGGGGGTGCAGTCATGCACACAGTATAAATGTTGTGTGTGTTGTCAATATCCGTATGTGTGCATGCAGGATGTCCTCACATCAAATATTTTCACGCCTGACTGACAACATTAGGCCGTGTCACCTGCAACCTACAGAATTCTATTTATGTGTCTCAAAGCAATGATTAGCTGTTGCCTACATCACTCATGGCTACATATCTGCTGGGCTGTCTGTACACAGCTTGTCATAGCTCAGCCATCAGGTACACTCATCTTATTGAGGGATTTCTGCTCTCAAAGCCACTTTACTGAGCCATCATCTTCCACTGAGATTCATGTGTGTCGGGAAGAGTGCGGGAAGTGAGTCAGTAAACATGTAAGTGAACGTGGGTGTGTGTGTTCTTGACAAATAATCGGATGGTACGATGAGCTCAGTGACATTCACTCATTGTTGCATATCTTATCAAACTACTTGTACAGCTTTTCATTAGATATTATAATCCAAAAAGTTTTCCTTTTACAAAATAATAAACAAAATTCAGTATCTGTCAGCTCAACACAAACATCCATGTATATTCTTAATCTTTTTCCAGCCTGTTCGCACTCCTTTTTTTAGATAAAGCAACTTTTTAAGTATTTTGACGTGGCATTAAAGTTTAGTGAAATCAAGGGATAAATTTTAAGTTTAGGTTATGAGTGTTATCTGTTGTCAGTGCAGGATTCTTGTCACTACTGTCCCGCTCTGTGCATGTGTCAAACAGTAAAGTTCATGCTTTAACTGTGTGCGCTTCATTTAAACTAATGCGTACAAAACGCTTTTCAGATTATATCATTCCATGCTAAATCAATATGAAGAGAGGTAAGAGTCACATACCCCTGTGTTGCACAAGACTTCCATACATCTTGTTCAGCATGGTAAACTTTTAAACGCTACATCTCCCTCACCTTGCAGGCATGCTTTGATTTGAAAAGTGTGGGTGGCTTGGTATGATGATTCTTGGCTCTGAAGTTTTACACTCCTTTAGCACTGTTGAGACACCAGTATTCAGGTCTGCAAAATGCGATATGTCTGTAGATATTTTTGTTCTGTGTTATTGTATTTTTTAAAATCATTTGTGCATGCAGTTTGTCTAGTTGACTTTTCCTTTTAATGAATAAAAAAAAGGGAGGAAAATTTGAAAATGAATCCCTGTCATGGTGGGAAGCTCACTTTTAAGAGCCTACATCTTCTAACAATAATGGCAGGCAAATAGTTGTACTTTAAATGTTTGCTGTATTCTATTATCCGTACATATTGGAGTGAATGTGTTGTTACAACCCTACCCTAGTCAAGACTCTGGCAGATGCATAGAAAACGGTATGTGTTGAGAGCAAAAGCAGGTGGAATGCAATCCAGGGTAGCATCAAGCCAGCTCCTGTGGGCAGTAACATGACAGCAAATTGATATGCCTGATTAAACAATCCTTTTTATGCAAGTATATCTAGATGAAAAATGCAGATCCAGTGACAAACCTATTTGAAGTTATTTAATGAAAGCAACCAACGGTCAAAACCCTGTCTCCCTGAAATGCAGGTATTCTAACCAGTGTACAGTAAATAGCTGTTTCCTTAAGTTGTTTTGTTTTTCTCATAATGACTGGCTTGATCACCCTTTTCCCTTTTTTTACTTCCACAAATTTGCAGCATCATGTTGTTGTTTTTTTCTAGCAATCTCACAACCCACTAATTACAAGTGATTCTAAAGAAAATCTGGTTATTTTTCAGGCCTACAGAGCTGAAGTAACCCATGGAAGACCCTCTGGGTAATTCACTGTGTACTTTTGAACTTAAGCTTATCAAGCAGTTTAACACACACTACTTTGGGGGATGTTGCAGACCAAGAAATTAGGGTGTTTACATTGCAGATGTAAAAGCCGCACAGCAAGGAAAGTCTTGGCAGAAGTTGTTTAACACTGACAGCTGGTTACACTGGCATTATCTCTGTTCCCAGAGGCACATATCATGTTGGATAATGAGAGACTGCAGTAAGCTTTGCTTTACATATATGCTGAAAATGGGGCTGGATTTACAGAAATCCTTACTCTTGGCATACTTCAATCATATCAGGGTTCACTCCATGTGTTGACATACTTTCAAGTAACATTACATATTTCTAGTACTTGGCTGTTGGCTGTTTGTTTTCATTTCAACACACCCAAGAAAGCAAAATATTAATACTGTTTAAGCTACTATGCAGAGTGCAGGTCAAGGTGCTTAACTTACAGACACTTTGACATGAAGACAGGAGGTACTGGGGATTCAGCTGGCTTTTATTTGTAATTAAAGTAAAAGCCACTCTACCCGCTGAGCCACAGTATTTGTCTCCTCAAGACAAAATGAAACACAAACTCGTGGGGCGCTGCTTTAGCTCAGTTGGAAAAGCAGACACCCCATGTCGAGGCTCCAGACCTAATTGCACCGATCGTAGTATCAGTTCCCGGTCCTGGTGTGATTGAATGCAAATCATTTCCCTCTTTCAACTTTCATAACTCCCCCTCGAGTCACAAATCTTTAAGTGCTCCATGCAGCGTTTAAAACCTCTCGACAGTAATCCCACGATGCTGTCTCTTGTGAAGAATGCAAAATTCAGAGTGACTGTTAATAAATAGGTTAAGCTTTACTTGTTACACATTTAGGTTTATTATTCGATTTCTCATCAGCTAAATGGATTCTAAACTTCTAATCCCCATATTGTGTGTGTGATTGTGTCTGCAGCTCCCTCTGGTTAACTCGGTTGGAATAAATTGTGTTATTCTGCGGTTACAGAGGGGCAAAGAAATGAAAACAAAGGAGAAATGTGTGAAAGGAAATGCCTTCAGATGATTCGCTGATATGGCTGAAAGCAGTCTAGTGTAACAAGGATCAGAGGATTAAAAGCGTTTCTTCTGCTGATGGCCACTCTGATGTTCATCTGCAGCAGTTTGCTCATACGTTGTAAATGCACAGTTCACAGCTCAGTGGGGCCGGGAGCAGAGGACAAAGAGTTCAGAGGATGAATCTGTTGCTTCAGGCTACTACCACTAAATTATTCTTAAGGCTCTTGCAATGGAAAATCATCATGCCCAGCTTCATCTCTTGTCCGTCTGAAGGACTACTGATGAGCTCTGAGGACAGACTGGAGGGGAGAGAGAAACTACACTGGACTCAGTGGTTGAGCCAGTGACAGTTATATTTCCTCAGTGAGAGTGGCTGCTTACATGTAAATTGAAGAACTGGCTGGAGGGCTTTTTTTGAAAACTTTTGAACCCTGAAACTAAAAACATTACAGCAATACATCAAGAAACAGAAAAAACTGACACTCAAAGCAGAGAGATAGACAAACTATATTGAATGTTAACTTTTCTGAAAAAAAAAAAAAACTACTGCTGTATTGCATTTCAGTGCAACTATTCATTGAATTTTTCTCAATCATTCAATCATATTCAGTCTCCCTGACAACAAAATGTGTATAAATCATCAGTCATGGGACAACCAAAAATGTTGGAGCAAAAACGGGAGACTTGGAGGAAAAAATAAAGTAAATGGCAGAAATAAAATGATGACATAGACCACATGGATGTAGTCAAAGTGACCCTGCCCACAGGTTTGAATCCTGGTGATCACAGTTGCCATGGTTGTCCTACTGACTCAATTTTAGTATCAATAAATCAGACAGAGGAGGGGGACTGGGATAGAAATAATTTGGCAATGCCAGAAAAAGTTTCCAAGAACTTTAAGGATTTCATTAAAAACTAAAACTAAAACAGCACATAATATCAGATTAATATCAGATAATATCTGCATGAAAGGGTCAAGGCTGAAAACTAATACTGAATGATTATGACCTCTGGGCTCTCAGGTGGCATTGAATGAGATAAGCAGACATGACTCTGCAGTAGGGCTGGGCAATAAAACGAAAATTTACAGATACCAAAATTTACGACAATAACCAACGTCATTTTGCCCATGTCAGTATATTCAGTGTCAAATAAACAAATAAATAAAAGTTGGTTTTGGATGTGTTTAAGTGGGCTGTGGTCTCATGTCCCTTTAAGACACTGTCCTACGTCCAGAGATGTGACTCCACCCAATCCAGTCCATAACAAAGAGGGAAAGACAGGTGAGGAGATGGAGGACGGTTCAAAAGTTGTAGCGGCTGGAGCGGTGGCTGAAATAGACAAAGTTAATGTGGGAGGGGGTGAGCAGCTTGTGGAGTAGTTATCCTCCGTTTATCGAGGTGAACTGCTCAATTTATCATGATATTGATTTAAGGCCATATCGCCCAGCCCTACTCTGCTGTGAAAATCACGACCACTGTCTGTGAACAGATTGTTGTTGCATCTGCAAATGCAGCTTAAAACTCTTCCACATAAAGAGGAAAAACATGCAGGTGATTTCTACTGGTCCCAAACCCATTTATGATGGATTAAGAAGAAGCTGAAAACTTTATTCTGGTATGAATAATCAAAATTTGAAATTCTTTTTGGAAATAATGGATACCATAGGAGGGCTTGTTATCTGAGCAAAGTTCAAAACCTGCATCTCTGGGGACATGAAGATACATAATGCCATGGCTTGTTTACACATCTGGGGAGGCACCACTAATGGTGAACAATGCAGGTTTGGGAGCAACTATGCTGCCATCCACACAATACCTTTTACAAAGAAGACCTAACATGACCTAGTTGGGAGAAAGCCAACAGTGTGTAAAGCTCTCATTAAAGCAAAGGTGGCTTCTTTGAAGAATCTTCAATTCTTAGTTAGGGCTTTAAAATGAGTTTTGTTGACATATACCTATCCTTATATTTAGCATTTGGTGTTATAGATCTCGCTCCAAACTACATTTTCTTTCTTGTAGAAAGCATTGCTAACATAATTTGTATAAAATGGCATAATTCTGTAAAAACTTTGCTTGTTGTGTTTGACAGCAGATCTGCTTTTCTTCTGTTCAGGGCAGTACTGTTGTCCAAAGATTCTCCAGTTTGCACACAAGCATTGTATTACATATCTGAAAGGCATTGGTTCATTGATTTATAAATGATGCAGCATCACATTTCAGTTGTTTCTTCAGACTCTATCTTGACACATACTAGCTCTGCCGTCTCATCTTTTAGTTACAATTAACAACACCATAAATACATATTATTTGAGGCTTTTCTTTAGAAGCTGTGAGTCAAAAAGGGTGACTTGGTGAAAAAGTAGACAGGTTATATTACTTGAACATGAGCATTTGTGATTCTTCTTCTGATCACTCACCCTGTCCCAGACTTTGATATCTCACCAAGTGCTGGAGTGATTTCAATGTTCAAATTTGAAGTCTCTCTTTGAAACCCAACACAGGCAATCTGTGTCATTTTGTATTCGCCCTACAATACCACAGCTGGTTTTGACGTTGTAATCTGATTGGACAAGAGGCGTGCCATGAACACTATGTATGTCATTCTGCTCTAATATGGTATAAGATACTATGTTTTACTGCAGTATAGTGTATGATATAACATGATATAGTAAAAGGCTTGAAGAACACTATTAAAGGTACCTCATACTCCAGGTCATTACACTGAATACTACAATTTTTGTGTGATACTGCTTAAATGATTTCATAATTCCTTAGTTTTTAAAGTTATCTCCAGAATGACTGAGCTGGGATTGGAAGACATTCTGGCAGAGATAGTTACACAATCAAGAACGTGAGTGCTGACTTTTCCTATCTTTCTGCTTCATCATGTGGTTTTGAGTCAAATATCTCTCACAATCTGCCGGATGCACGACCTCCAAAATTGGCAGAGACATAAATGCTGACCACAGGGTAAAAAAATTTATCACTTTGTTGATGTAGTGCGGTCACAATATTTCAGTTTTGCCGGTGCTTTGTAAAAAATATCCTCAAAACTAATGACATTTTCATCAGTTTCAGTAGTGATTTACACTCTGCTTCTGAGCTTATATCATTAAATTCAAGATGATGAACTGGCACTGTTGTAGATTCTTAGTCTTGCTGACATCGTTTGGCTATATTTTAAAGTTTAATCTGGTTTTAAGGTGAGAAATCATGGCCAAAACTGTGTGTAAAGCTTTTACGATTCACACAAGTCCCAGATAATAACAACATAGGAGGACAGATCAGACAAGTCAGTTAGTGAGTAAACTGCTCATCTTCTCTGTTCATTTTCTAGCCATTAAAAGATGTAACCTGATGATACTTATGCGATGTAAAATGTATAGAATGACAAGCATTGATTTTTGGGCATTCAGAGCAGTGAGCATCATATCCTAGAAGTGACCCATGGGATACAGTATGGATCACTATAGTAGCGGCTCACGTGTATGTTATTTCACCCTGTGGATCCCCTGAAGCTCAGCTTAGTCACAGACAGGAATGAGGTCACTTATGGCAAAAGGATTCCTGATATTGAACCCATTAAGCGATTCACTTTTCTTAGAGCCCCTTTGGCGGTTTAAACACTGCTTTACATTTCACTGGACCCCCACACCACCAGCTCTATCTCCACATTTCATCCCCCACACAGAAGTGATTTCTCATAGTTTTGGATAATCCCTGCTCTGTTTTACTGGTTATGCCATTATCTAAAATCCTCGTTTTAATCCTTCGCTACTTTTCAAATTTAAATTTTCATCCAATTCCTCTCAGTCTTGCATTGCTACACCTACCTCTGCAATACATTTGCACTATTCCAGCACAGGACAGAAATCCCAATCTCAATAAATCCTTTCCTACTCTCCATTTGAAATACGGCTAAGCATTATGTCATCGACTGTGGAGCAGAGCCACTGTGATACGCTAAGTGGATTCAATCACAGCGAGAGCCAAGGAGAGAAAGAGAGAGAGGGAAGGAGGGAATCAAATGACCATTTTTTTCCCCCTGAAATGGTCGCCTGCCACCAGTGTAGACGCCCAAAAAGCTCAACAGTGAAGAGGACCAGAGAGAGCTGCACATGGCACACACACACATACACACACAACACTTGTCTGATCACTGCTACTCATTGCTGACAGATGGTTAATTGCCCCCCTGTGTATGTACGTGTGTATGTCTCTAGATAGGTGTATGCTTCCAAGTACTCCAGTGATATTTGAGGGCACACACAAATAACAGTAAGCAACATTTCTGGTCTGGATTTCTTCGTTTTACACTCAGCAATTCAGGACTGCGAGGTCAAACAACACAGACTCCTCTCTAAAAGGATGATTTATTCAAAACTAGTACATAAATGCAGCGTGTGTCAGTGTTAAAAAACACGCAGACCTCTCATCACGGCTTGGAGAGCTGAAAGTGAAACACACTAAATGACTCTGCTTTGTGTACGCTTGGGTCACAGTGGCAGATAAAAGCTTTTGTGATGGATAATGGGCGTTGAAAGCTGCAGCCTGAAACCAGACGGCGATAGAAAAAGAGCGGTTGTCAAAGAGTGACAGATATGCAGCAGTGATGTGGTGACTTAAGCTGGGTTTAAGGCACAAACGGAGAAATTATGGCTCTGTGTAGACAGTTATTTAACTTTTCACGCTGTCCAAACTTGAAGCAGAGAAATGTTAAAAAACAGAAACTTACCAGCTATGATAGGGGCCAGGCGGAAGATATCTGAGAGGCGACTATTGACTGGTTCATATGGAGAGTATTCCAGCAGATCATTGGCTGCATGAAGGAAAACGAAAGTGCTCAATTTTATTGTACAAACATATTCATAATGATTTGATGGATCCAACATGACAAAAAGTACTTTGTTTCTCATGTGAACAGGTACAGTCTATTATAGAGTATTTATAAACTAATAAATTAGTGTTATGTAAATGATTAATATACCAAGTACAGATATTCTCATGCTTCTCATTACTAAATCTGTTGAGTGAACAATGCTGATTGTGGGCATTTTGCTAGCTTTTACTAACACTATATCCTCTGAAAGTTCTGATTCTTTATCGTCACATAGAAATAAACACTATGATTTGTTTGGACTAATTGGTTAGACTATCTAACTGCAATACTGTCTGGTTTCAGATAGCCTATATTCCCATACCCTACACCCTTTGAAAAGTTTAGACAGTTTTAGAGGCTGATTGATAAACTGGTATTGAAATTAGTTTATTTTTTGGCACATTGTAGAAGACTAAAGTTAATTTGTCTGGGCCAGCAGACTGGTGCAGTGACTGGATATAGTCTTTGGTGCTGGTGCCATGTCCTATAAACCAAATCTGGACAATGTCAGAGGCTGATTCTGATGCTGATGTTGGTGCTTTAACAGTTCTTACCATAAAAGGTAATCAGGTATGACTGCGAATAATTAATAGAGGTACATGTATTTTTTATTTGGAACTGTTTTTCATTCCATTACTTTAACAAACTTACCTGGCACAGCTTTAACATTCCTGAAATTGGATGCATGATCATAATGTGGCCTTGTGTAACTTTTTACTTTTTAAGGTGATGACCTATTTTAAGAAATAAGCAGTGAATACTTCTTCCAACATCTTTACATATACTCGCTCTGAACTTGAGAAAATAGTCATGAGGTTGCTGTGAATGCATACCCTGTAAACTTTGGAATATGCTCCAGAAGATCCTGAGACAGTTCTTCTCCTTCTTCATGCCTCTCCTACATCTGCAGTTGTACAACGGGCTCTGCTTCATGGCGTCTATCGCGCTGCGGCACTCGCCCTGCGCCTCGGGACCTGTCACCGCGGTGAAGTTGCTCTCCCTCCCGGCCACGCACTGCCTCATGGTCCGGTATTTGGTGCTGCAGCTGTACTCCTTCAGACATTGTTCACTGGCCTTCACGCAGTCCAGACGGGGGGAGCGGGAGGGTGAGGTACCGTCTCCCCTCAAGGTGAACACGGAGTCTGGGAGGTACAAGGAGGAGGACATCTGAATTTGTGTTCATGATGGAAACTCATTTGTACACACAGTTTTACGCACAACAGACTGAGCGATCAGTCAATTATCAGGGTATAATTGGAGACTATCACGATGCAGTGTTTCCAATTAACACACTAAGATGCGCAGAGCACGAGACAAACTTTCTGGACACGGGCTGTGCGCCATAGGCTAATACCTCAGTGATGTAAAACACATCAAGCAGACAACTCATTGGACATGCGAGGAAATATCTCTACGATTAATGCGCCTTTTTTTTTTTTGAACCATCGCTGTCCGGTGCAGAAACAGGTGCATTTTAGAATAACCACAAAACATTTCAGCAGATAAAAGTATCACTTACCCAGAATGGACAATACAACAACAAAAGTTATTAAAATCATCGCGTTTTAAGGAAGTCTAAAGAAGGTCTGTCGAGGATTAAAAGAAAACGTCAAGCGAACTTGTCAGACAGACCCGCTTTCCCTCTGGTGGCACATTGTGTGAGTTTAAGTGTTGAAGCATCCTGTAGATCCAGCAGAGTGAAAATCCAAACTCTCCCTTTAAGTCCAGCGTTCAGTAACTAAACCGTGTGAGCCTCCAGACGGAGTTTAGGACGATTTAAAAAAACACAAGTGAGACACATTTCCACTCCTGTTACTGTCCGCTGCTCCGTCACACAGACAGCGACGGGTGTGTCTGATCCCAAACTTCACACCCGCCTTAAAACTCCTCCAACCAATTTGATCAACTATTAATTTGACTCAGATTGTCCGCCAAAGCTCCAAGAAGACTGTGAGCTGTTTTTTTTTTTAAATCTCTCTCTTCAACATCCCCGAAGCGGTGAGAATACACTCCGTTTTGTCAGGTGCGAAGACCAAAAGCAGCGCTGTTTGATCCGGATCACTCTCCACTCTGATCGAACAGTGAACCGCTGGAGATGCAGCGCACGAGTCGTGACGTCATGTGGCTACGAGCGCAATTACACTAATAAAGCCATTTACAGCCATAGTGATCACATCTAGTCTGGACCAATTGATCCCCAGCAGCTGACGGGTTACATCTGAGTGTTTCAGCTAGACAGAGTTTACTTAATGACCCAGGGGAAAAACCCACGGGCATAATTGCTCAGAATAAATGTGTGTAATCCACAGCTCTTTAGAAACTAACACTTAAGTTCTACCTGCTAACAGCTAAATCATAGTATTTTTTAGGATCTGAATATTTCACTGAAGGCATTGTAAGTCTTTTTTCTGTCAGCCCATCATCATACTGCACCTATGAATTCAGCGTGTAGGGGAGAGTGGGGTAAGATGAGCCATTTTTCATATTTCAGATCACTACATCAAGGCAATCATAGTTTTGTCTCTAACTAGTGTATCTGCATATATTTCAAGATGTTGTGCAGCCCTGAAAACCAACAGAATGAGTGTAACCACAACTGTCATAACTGTCGGTAATGTAGCATGCCAAAAAAAGCGGGGTAAGTTGAGCCGTATCCCTACTACCCCCCCAGTCTCCACTCCAGCCCTCCCTCACCTTCTTACTTCTTAAATAACAGTCACTTCTTCATTTTCATGTGTATTTTTATCTATTATATGCTATTCAACAGATATATATATCTGTTGAATGGGCGTGGTGGCATGGCAGGGGGAGGTGTCGACAGAATCAGCGGGCGCAGTGACATACATATCTGTTTCACAAACTGGTCTATATATATATATATATATATATATATATATATTATTGTATATAACTGCTAAAAAACTGTTTTGTAAAAAGCCATTTTAACATGAGAATGTCTTTAAGTGATTCAGAACATTTACAGCTGTATTTTTGAAAAGAGAAAGTAACACTTCAACAATCTGAACTGAAACTCTGATCCTCTCATCAGACTTCTTTACTTTCTCAGTTGAGCCACTGGTTCAACTTACCCCAGAACTACTATTATGACTTTATTATTCCTCTAAGCTAAAATAGTGGACTTTTATGCTAGGTTTTTGACCTGATGTTGTAGCTCATAGATACCACAATTAATGTATAAAACAAATTTAAAATGATCTTTTTTGGTCTGAAATAATGTTTTGGAAATAAATATCTAACATCTAACCCCTTTACCCATGTGCTTCTAACTAGGGCCCGGCCGATATGTTTTTTTGGGGCCGATGCCGATACCGATTATTGGGGGGTCCGATTACTGATTAATCAGCCAATTTTTAAAATTCTTATAGTTCTTAAAGTTATATATATATATATATATATATATATATATAGAGAGAGTCTTCCTATCTACAGTATATCTACAGTATATATATATATAAGTCTTCCTATCTACAGTATATCCACAGTATATATATATATATATATATATATATATATATATATATATATATATATATATATATATACATACTGTAGATAGGAAGACTGATTTTACTCGGACCAGAAAAGCAATTTCAACTAACCCCCCCCCCCCCCCCCGCCGATCGGTGCCTCCGCTTTTTAACTCACGTTACTCATTTCTGGTCCGGTCTCATCTGGAGACATGCAGCTGCCTCAGTAAGAGAAGTAGCTCGATCACTTAATGTCTACTGTTGTTTTTTCTACCGTTACTGGCACAGCTAACAGTGTAACAAGGCTAATAACAGGTGGCTAACTCTAACTTTAGCTTGCATATTACATGGTGCTATACCGTTAACTCGGCGTGACCGAGACCAGCACAGCGGGGACCATCGCGAAGGGGGTTGAACTGAAACTTGTTGACTTATTGTGTATTTCACAAACTGGTTTATTTACAGACCACTATTTACGGAGGCGGACCACTCTCCTCCGTGTGTCCCTGAACTGCCTGCTTCAGATCCATCACTCTGCTGTGCTGTGAGGTAGTTAGTGGATGAAGATTGTCATGAGGTCGCTGCACCATCTACTGGATAAGTCAGGGGATCTTTTCAAATGGCGGAACATTTTCGAAGCGAAACCGAATCTCCACATTTTATTTCCGAAAATATTGGCAAAAATAGGCGAATTTTGGGCGATTACCGATTAGTCTCAAACGGGCTAAAATTGGCCGATTTAACCGGCGCGTCGATAAATCGGTCGGGCCTTACTTCTAACCTCCACAGACTCCATGAATTGATGCCTATCTCCTAAATATTTGGTCACATGATCAATTTCTTTAACCATTTCCAAGCAACAGGGGGTGACTTACCCTTTAGCTCAACTTACCCCACTCTCCCCTAGACCTCTATTAGACCACGGGCACTTGAATTTAAAGGAGTGGTCGCCTGTTACTATCCTTTTTTTAGGATGGCAACAGTTTTTGAGGTAATTCAACCCCCTAAATAGAATAAAAGGAAAGTTGAATTTGAGGGGGAAAATGGCAATGACTGTTGATGCAACTTTTTCCATTATGGTTGATATTTCTAAGATGAAAAATATGATTTAGATGAGCGAGGACAAGTGGCACTCAATCCATTACACTGTGTAGCCTACAGTCTGGGACCTTGTGCTTTAGTGTACAGATATTTTACTCATCAGGTACTAAAAAGACAGGACCTCACTGAATACTCACAGTACAGAGTATATTTTAGGTAAAAAGTACCTGAAATCAGTTTTCCTCATCTCAAAACTGAGAGCAGATTCAGCAATAATATATACATGGTGGTAGCATCTAGCAACTTGTGTTTAACATTGCTTTTTCAGAGGAGTGAAGGAGAACAAGTTCTTTTTAAACTCACCTGAAAAACAACATAGGCAACTCAACTGAGAGAAATAGCCTGTTAGCTAGCAAGCAGGACAATGATGAGTTTCACAATCACAGGGAAATCGTATGTTATAGAGACTCGCATAGGAATTTATGGACTTTTGGTTAACTCACCTTTGTTCATAACTGAGTGGAAATGAGCAGCCAGTCTGCAAAACATCAATGATTTGTAATACTTTGTCAGAGTATATTACTGTTTGTTGAAGTGGGATTTAAAAAAACACCTTTCCATATCATATCAACAAATCAAATAACCACCAAAAATGAAAATGAAGTTTTATTTGACCAACCCATCACAAAAAATTGACAGATACTTTACTTTCAGTGCCGTTAAATTTTGAGTGCAGAGTTCTTGTAATGCTATCCCACCAATTCATATGCAGATGGGGTCATGTAATTAGACTCAAGAACTAATTCCACAACCCATCAATAACCACTGTCTATGATTGTCTCATGACTAGATGGGATATATACTTAAGATGATCTTTTTTTCAGACTAGCCAGGGTCTGTAAAAACAACTTTCAGCCAAGTCACCTTGTCTGGGTAGACTTTACACCTGCAATGTTAACATATTTCTTTGACCATTACATCTCCTAGGATGGTGCCTGGTCATCTGTTTCAAGTAGATCTTAGTGAAAGAGTAGACACAAGCTTTGGCAGTAAAAAACCCCAAACAAATCATTTTTTCCTGTGATTCGCCAACAATTCATGGGTTTTACGTTTGTCAAGAAAACAACATCAGGGCAAAGATGTTTAGAATTTAAAATGCAAACTTGATCAGGTCTGTTTTTTTAAAAAAAGACTTCAAATTATAAGTTTTTGGTCAGAAAATGGTTTAGGTCTTTACTTCCATGCAAGTTTACGATGCTTTCGCTTTTCACATTGATTATTTTTCCTGCTCACACCAAAGACAGCTGATACACAACTGGTCAATACTCAGACTACACATGCACCTTAAACTGAAACAAGATTACTTCCTATGCTTTAAATCCAGTCCCCATTTACAGATTCTACACTTTATGTAGAATACACACAGAGATCCCAAATATCTGATACTAAATGCTTCTCCAAAACCCTCCAAAATATAAACTTGTTTGTTTAAAACAACTCTTGAATCTATCTGTTGGTTGACCGATTTTATTTCAGGTTTTGGTCTGATATGCCTTTGTTTAGATGGGACAACCATTAGGAAACTGGTGAAGGCTGCAGGTGGAGATCAAACCTGCTTTAACAAGTGTCTTTATGGCTAAATTGGTGCCCCATACAATCTCATTTCCAGCTCATTTTTTCTTTATATCATTATCATGATTGGCAATTTTTGAAATTTCATCTCTGACATCAACATTATTATTGTTTTTTGGATACCCCACATCTAAAAATTACACACATTTATGAAGTACTAACACTAACTGTCCTGCTTGAAGAGAAAATTAAAACCTTACTGTATATCATCAGCAGTTCAGTGTGCAGGAAAAGAGTTTAACAGACAGACTGTTTTCTAGCAAATGAAATCGATTTCAGCATGACTGATTAATTGTGAGTGCTCAGTCGATTACAACAGTATCATAATAAAAACTCATCCGGCTAGATGAGATTCATGTCACACTTCCCATCTCAAGTCTAAAAGCCAGGGATTAAAAGCATTGATTCGTATATTTATTGTGTATAGAGTAAATATAAGCTGGCTTTTGTAGCTTCAGAAAGCTTTCAATATCGCGTCAACATTGTACATCAAACAGCTCTTAAACCGTCCCCATAGAGTCTTCTCTTGTGCATCTTCTGTTCAGCTGAATAGTTAACCACATGGCCATTTGTCATCTTTAATGAAGTGTTTAGAGATTATTGGATGGGCCCTTGTAAATGCACTGAGCTATTAGACCAATAAGTCAATATTTCTCTGAAGAGCATAAGCTGCACAAGTGCTTAGGCTTACAGGCAGTGCTAATCATTAAAAATGTATTTGATAGAAACGGGGCTTGTTAAAGGGGATACAAGATGTCAATACAATCTTTTACCTTTGAAAAGTCTGTTTTTATTATTTTTTAAACAGATAGGATAAAGTGTTTGGATGAAAACTCCATGAAGGAAATATCCTTATGCTCTTGTGCATCTGAAATATATTTATTCCATTACGAAAGACAGCATATTAGTTTAGATGTGTGATTGATTACTGTGTATGAAAACCCCAGTGGAGGTGAGGAAGATGCCAGTTGTTAAGTTTCCATCGACATCAGCTAATGTTGTATTTCCTGCATATGATAAATCCTACTTAAGGAAATGAAAAATCTATATGGCATCATCAACAGGAAGAGGCTCAAGCTGTGGGGGTCCCTCGCTCATTTGTGCCAGGACGCTTTATTACCCTGCAAAAGCTCTCACTCAGCATTATCCATCCTCACCACTTTATGGTGATCATTCATTGAACGTGTCCCCTAAGAACACTGAAGCCTGTGCCGCACTGGAACCCTCACGAGCTGAGATTTATTAGGAGGTAATCGATATCATTGTATATCACAAGATCAACA